CCCCGACCAAACCAACCAAGCAATGACGACCCAAGGCTTCCACTGTATGCCGGCTGACTTATTCTCTGTCAGAAAAGGAGCTGGCTGCCAATGAACAAAATGAGCAGAGTTAAAATTACCTACCATATGCGAGAGAATTTTGTCAATTGAGTAGATCTAGACAACACATGAAGTTTCAAGCTAAACTTTCTAATATGCTGCACTCACCTGAGGTCTATAAAAGAAGAACGAAATCTGATTATGTATTTTGGTTCTACAAGGTAGCCAACTCCATCAAAATATTAAGTATGTACCCAACTCAATTAATGATTAATCAACCAATTACTCCATGGGATAACTGGGATCTATCAGTTGATTTTGTAAATGCGCCCAAGAAAGATAGTGTGCACTCTACATTATTAAAACAGTTAACACTGAAAAGCATCACTGAAAGTACTCAGAGTATGGGTAACGATGTGTATCAGTGCTATACCGACGGCTCTGTAGAAGAAGGTGGACGATGTACCGGATGTGCATGTAATATATTTAAACAATCTTCTCTTGTACATACAGCAATGAAGCGCGTCAATGACTGGACAAGTACAACTCAAATCGAACTTGCAGGCATATACCTTTCCACTGAATTTTTAAAAGACAAAGGCAGTGGACTTATATACTGTGACTCGCAGAGTGCACTCCTGGCATTAAACGCACATAGTAGTGACACCCAAAAAATAGTCAGTGATATTTTTAGCTGCTAAAGAAAATAGATTTGAAATTAAATTGCTATGGATACCATCACATGTTGGCATCTCAAGGCATGACACTGTTGATATGCTTGTAAAGACAGCCTGTAGAAAACCAGTGGTAGAAATTGATATGGGTGTTTCATTAGCAGTGACAAAGAGAATACTTAAACAAATATCTAATGAAGATCTCACGGACCTTACAAATTTGCAAAGACCTGAAAGTTGTAGCATTAAATATTATAATAGATATCTTGAGGAGACATTCACATATGGGACTAATAGAACAAGAACCCGGCAATGTGATGTTATAGTAGCCAGAATACGCCTGGGATATAGACGTATCTGGCAGCTTTCTCAAAACCCAAATGTCGAGTACACAATGTGTCAACTTTGTGAAAGAGAAAACATGCACTCTCTTGAACATTATATTGTAGAATGTCCCATACTAACTGACTTTTGCCCTCCTGGGCTAAGGTATGCTGAACTCTGTAATTACTATGTGAGTACTGGAACACTTGATGATATATTGGACTTGTATCCAAGATTGACCATGTAATATATCAATCATACAATGTATGTATGTGATGTAACTTTATAACCTGAGCTTGTAAAAGCACCTTATTCACTTTCAGTGATTAAGTGCTGAATTGCACACAAGTTTCTTTATCAGCTATCTCAACCTGTCAGAGTAAAAGAGACAAATGTATGTGAATGCATGTGTGTGTGTATATATGTACTGTATGTATATGTGTGTGTGTATGTGCATAAAGTATATATGGAAGCTGATCAGAATTACATTTCACCTTTGTAAATGCACATTAATGACACTATGTAAAAGACACATTGAACACTTTATGTAGGGCATACGTAAATCTGCGTATCTATGTATTTACGTATGTAGGTTAGCTTAGCATATTAAAAGTACCGAATCACCTTCTGTGGTTGATTGTTCAATAAACCCCTGAACTATATGTTTAACACATCTCTCACCCTGTCCATGGAGGACAGAAGAAAATGTATATATGCTGGTTAGCATTGTAAATGTGTGGCCACGTCTGTGGTAGAAAATAATAATAATAAAATAAAAATGAACAAAATGCCCACCAGAGCCAAAAGAACAAAAAACCCACCTCCAGAGGAGCATAAAACACCCCGACCCTACAACCTGAGGGCCAACAAAAATAGAGCTGCTGAAAAAGAATCCCAGACTGAGTGGGACACCATAACCCTAGAAGAAAGAAAAATAAGAATGTGGCCCAAAGACCAAGTGGGCTGAAGCAGTGCATGAGCAGGCCAGAGGTGAAATGTAATGACCATTCTCATAAGCATGGGAAAGTTTATGAAATTTAGTCGAAGACAAATCAACCTTGAACAAGCTCTGCCAACACCACATGCTAAGAGGCAGACAGTATACGGCATGAAGGGCCTATCAAGAAACATCCAAGAAAGGACTCGAAGAACTACACGCTCTGAAACCAAAGAGAAACAACGAAGATAAAGAAAGTGGCAAAAAAAGAGCAAGAAACCTCGTACTGCCATCAAGAAGATATCCATAGGCAGGAAACCACTAAATTAGCCACCAGCATGACAAATAGATAGCGATAAAGATGCGTCAAAATACCAGGCGAGAAGAACCGAGGAGAAGGTTGAACCAGCAAGGTACATCACTGGGCCAATCTTCTGAAAGATGTGGAGCTGAGAAAAATGCCCGGGTTCAGACACTCTGCAACCAGTGCTTGAAACCAAGGACGAGCTGGCCACCAATGAGCCAGAAGGACCACCACCACTTGAGGGACTCCAACATGGCCAGGACTGAGAACAGCAGCATGATGGGGGTAAAGAGGCACAGATACCCCCATCAAGACCAGTACAGCAGAAAGGCATCCACTGCAAGGGCCTGGCAATTGGGAATAGAACCACTTAAAGAGGAAGGCATCAGTTCCAAGCCGATGCAAAGAGATCCATGCTGGGGCACCTGAATGACTTGCAAAGTCACAGGAAGTAGACAGCATCAACAGTCCACTCCATGGAGATGGGGAAAAAACCATGACAGACAGTCTGCAAGGGCATTGGACAATTCCCAAATGTGACCCGTGCCAAGAACCAAACCCTGAGAACCCAGCAAAAGAGCTAGCTGGAGCATCTAGCACCAAGAGGCAATGGACCAAAGAGCCCCACCAGTTCAGATAAGGAACTACTGGGTATCAAGAAAACACATTGAGTGAAGGGGGAAAAGAAAGGCACCAGAAAACCGAACTCCGAAAAGCCCAAAGCAAAGCTGGTGACAGCAGCCAACAAAGGGCAAATGGGGCCCACACCCAGAAGTTGTGATAGCAGCAAAATGGGCAGAAATGGAGAACCCAGAACAGCCCCTCAAAGCCACACTGAGCCCAGCAGGATAACCATGCACGCAAAGTTCAGGCCCCCGCACAACCTCTCGAGCAACCGCAGCAAAGCCAAATGAGAAATGAAAAGTGACATTGATTGAGAATCCAACACGAGACCCCGAGAAGTCTGAACCTTGGAAGGAACCAGATCCCTGGCTAACAGACACAGACTGGGGTACAACACCAGCCAGTTGTCAAGGTAGGCTAGAACACAAACCCCCAACAAACAATGATGAGTCACGATAACCATAGCTAACCTAGTGATAATGCAGGAAAACAGATTCAAGTTAAATGGAAGAACCCAAATGTAGTAAACCTGATGCCCCACATTGAAATCTAACTAATCCCTGAATCCCATATGAATAGGGATGTGATAGATGGATGTGCCATGGTGGTCCAGGGATATCTAGGAGTCCGCCTCAAATAAAGCAAACCTGGGCCATATAGTCAACCAAAATGTGGGATAATGGATGAAGTGCTTCAAGTCTGACAGACTGAGAATGAAGCGGAGGACTGAGGACACCCACTGAAGAGACACTGTTATTTCGACCACACTGGAAGGCACTCACTCCAAAAGACCCGACACAGGCAATACCTGCCTTGAAAGCCCCGTCCCTTGAAAAGGGGAAAGGGCTGACCAAGTCCACTATAGGCTGCTCAAAACTACCAAAAAAACTCACAAACCATGGATCAGGAACTGGCAAACTGGGTGAGCTTCTCCCCTCATCCAACCACTTGGGCTGGATGGTAGAGCGACGGTCTCGCGTCATACAGGTTGACATTCAATCCTCGACCGTCCAAGTGGTTGGCCACCCGTCCCGTCTCAAATCCTTATCCTGACCCAGTGCTAGTCATAATGGCTTGGCACTTTCCATTGATTGTTCCCCCCCCTCAAAGGGAACAAACCACAAAATGGCTGGCTTGAACCACAAAAAGCAGTAGCCCACCAAAAAGCACAAACATGGCGCCAACCAGCTGAGGACAAACCGGCCACAAGAAATGCACATGACCTAGAATCCGGATCCAGCATGGGCCTACCTTGACCGACAGTAAGTGACAATCCAGATCTACTCGAATGCCTTTATGAATGAGATCGAAAACTATAAGAACAAATCAAGATCGAAAGACGTGGCCAGAGAAAAATAAAAACTGACCAGTAATATTCACTGGAAAGGCAAAAAATGGAAGGACAATAAGAGAACTAGGGGCCCAAGTTGACCCTATAGACTGGGCTAAGATAGTGTGTCGATATGTGAGGTGGGCAGTGTATAAGCGGTCACTGTCCCCCAGAGTATGGGTGAGGACAGCTTGACCAAAGCTACCAAATGATGCCACAGTGAACTAAGCACCCATACCATGCCCGGGGCTAAGTGCCTGGACTTCAAGCTCTTCCTCCACACTATACCAAGTGCCTGTACTCACATAGTTGTGCTTGCGGGGGTTGAGCTTTGGCTCCTTGGTTCTATCTCTCGAGCCAAAGATCAACCCCCACAAGCACAACTAGGCGAGTACAGGCACTCGGTATAGTGTAAAGGAAGAGCTTGGACACGGGGAAAATACCAGATGCGCTTAATTCTGCAGATATAGTTCCTCTTCACAAGGGAGGGAGCAAAGCATTGGCTAAGAATTATAGACAAGTTGCACTAATGTAGCAACTGTCACTGGCACTTAACATTTCATTATATATATTGAATTCTATGAGTCTGGACCTGTGGCTGAGTGCATGGGCATGTTGTCAATTAAACTGAGGACTGGAATTATGAGAAATACAGCAAAATTATGTGGTCTGTAGTGAAGGCCAGAAAAGACGTGTACACGCAGGAAAGGAAAATTCAGCAACATTGGTAATATGTTGAGATACACCAACTTATTACAACTACTGTACCTTGTCATCAGGAAATATATGAAGTCTGGCCATCCGTCCTCTTCTAAGCAGGTTCTTGTCCAGTTTGTTGTATACAGCTTTTCTGACAATCTAGGAAGGAAAAATTGCCCGAGTTTACATTTTAAAGCCTAAAAGAAACAAAAAAAAGTGTTCCAGAGATTTAAATTCAAATATTTTTGTACTTTGTATCAGAAATAATATCTTAAAAATAATATATAGTATGGGCTATTTATAAATACAGTAACTTTGAAGTCACTATTAACCCTTTAACTGCGCCGCCTCTAAATATGCAATTGACAGTACGATTTAATACTAAGTGTAATAAGTACACTTTCTTACTGTCATAAACAGTTCATAATTGCACTTATGGGGCTGTTACATTTACCCAACTCCCTCCCCCGATTTAATTCTCCTCGTTTTCTGTTAAGACACTCAGAATTTTAGGACGAAGTTTTCAATTTGCAATTCACAAGTTTTAAATATCAGGAATTTCTTTTTCAGGTTTATTAAACAATATAGATTTTATACAAAATTTTAAAATATCCTGAGTTACTTTACAATTTATTGATATATTTTAGTTTTGTTTTATTAGTTTTATAAAACTGAAATATTAATATAGCTATAAGTACTAATTGTAATTAAGAAGCAATAAAATTATTAATTCAAAAACTAAGATGGTTAGGTGAGGTTGTGGTTTTCTATTAAGTTTTTCAGGTAAACTCAAATATTCACAATATATTTGACAGTACGATTTAATACTAAGTGAAAATAAGTACAATTCCTAACTGCTATGAATAGTATATAATTGCACTTATTTGTCTTCTTACATTTACCACCCCATTTTTGGAGGACGGGCTGAAATATGACACCCCCAGCGCGCAGGAAATAAATTCTCTTGAAAAAATTCTTTTGTTTTTTTAAAGTGTCAAAAACGGGAAGTAGCGAAAACCTTCCCGAACCCTCAAAAACACAGAAGCCAACACTAGTCCCGAAGGCACACAAAGGCACAGGTGCACCTGAGACCAGAAGTCACGTAGAACCCCAAGAACGGGGAAACATGACGAAGACACCGTCCCAAAAAGGAGAGGGGGGGGAAGCATCCACCCACAGGACGGAACCAACCGACTCAAAGGCCAAGGAACTGAGCCCGGGGAGAGGCCAATGCCCAACAACACGTACAGCGAGTGGGGAGGAAAGACCCCACTCCGCGTAACCACAAGCCCCACCTAAAGGGGGGAGAAAAACCCCCCACAGGGTCCTACGGGGCCAAGGGCCCCCCAAGTCAGCCCCTCCCCAGCCCCGGGAACTGACACGACAGGCCCCGGGGCCGAGCCATCCCCCCAAAGCCCCGGCCGTACCAGAAAACCGGGGCAGCCGCGAAAACACTAAGGAAGGGAGACCACTGGCAGACTCTTACAACACGGCTAGAGGAACAGGCTCAATGCCCCCGTCACAACCCCGGAAGGGGAATTCCCCGAGATTGCCCAAGTCTCAACACCATCAAACCCCACCCCAATCCTACAGACAGTAAGGAACGGGATGCAGGCAGGAAAGGGGATCCAGGAAAAAGACAAGGGGGGGTGGAAGGAACCGAAGCAACAACACCCCCAAGTCCCAACACGAACCAAAACAGGGCAGCCCCGGGGCTCCCGGGGAGTAAACCACGAGAGCGTTGCCACCACCAAGGCTCAAAGTGCAATGCCCCTGCTGCCCGCACCTGCTTAGTCAGCACAACTGGGTAACCGAGCCACAACGGGCAACAAAACTTGCAGGACTCCGGGTCGAACGTGTCACCGACCCCACAGGCAGCAGACGGAGGCAAAACAGAGTCACCCAGAGACAAAGGGTGAGAGCAACCCTCAAACTCGCTGAAGCGAGGGGGGACTCTGGGGTCACATCCATCGGACCCACGCGCCCCCAGGGGTTTCCCAGGGTCCCGAGCCTTTACTATAAGAAGACTCGTGCTCAGGTAATCCCAGGCAGGGTACTGCTAACCGGCGCCCAAAGCTACCAAACAACTTTCTAAGAGCTGAACCCCCGGGACGTGTACACTCACGGGGACCTAGCAGGGGGTACCATCAGAAAATACTCAGAACACAAGGGACACAAGGGGCAAGAACGAAGGCAGACCCCCCCACCAGGTAGATAAACAAAAAGAAAAAGAAAACCCCGCAAGAGGACAGCGTACCCAAGCGGAACAGAGCCGGCAATAGTTCCGGCAGTCATGATTGGTAAAGACAAGCTGCACAGTTCCCTGCGCCCCACCAGTGCAAAACTGCCCCCCTACCCTAAGGCGAACACGGGAGACAGAACACCCGAGCACACAAAGAGCGGCCGAAACCCAAGCAGTAAAACGGCCTAGCAGGGGCAGAACCCAAGGAACTTGTGGAAGGTGGCCCCAAATTCCAAGGGCAGTACTTACAGGGCGCCTAGGGAAGGGAACCCTAGGCGCATGCAGCCCGAGTACTGGAGACTCACTCCCGGCTCACACACCACCTAGAAAACAGACACCACACTCTAGGTACAGTGCTGAAACAACTACTGGAGCCAGAGCACACAACCGGTGCCTATAGCATCAGCTAAAGAACTGATGGGTGGATAGCCAGCGTGGGAGGTCTGGGGCTCCCCCTTCCCCCTCCCGGGGAGGGGGGAGCTGCGCAGACAGTGGCGCGGGTACGTGTGATGTCATACTAGTTTGCTTGTTTTCTGTTTGGGGGAGTTCTATCCACTAGTTCGGCTTTAGGTAGCAATTTTTAACCAGAATAGGAGTTTGTTTTGGAATGCTTACCTTTTTGGATGCTTGACCCGGTCAATGGCAGACATAGAATGCTTCCAACTACACGGGGGCTTCTATAGGCCATTGCTCCCCTTGCCTCTCTGAGGGGGGCCAGGTTCTGGTCGTGGTCCCTGGTAGGCCCTAGAACTCCATACACATGACTGATGCCAAAGTCTGACATTAGCATATCAGCCTGGTAAAGCTCCGGGGAGCCGACAGGGCTCCCCCCAGAAAAAAAAATCAAACTTGTACGTACTTTGGCTGCTATGGGGTCCGTAAGTTGGCGCGTGACACCATCATTCCCCGTTCGCCCGTGACGTATGCTCCCGGGGCGGGGCGCACGAGTTGCCGCGAATATATTATTGTTCATTTTTTGCACACAGTTCCAAATACATTTTATTTGTTTTTATGTGCTAATCCTATGTATAATGAACACGTACACTATATTATGGCAGTAAAACATCCGTACTGTTCGAGGACACTGTGTTACGTGCATGACACTTGTGTACACATATGCTGCACATATATAAATTAGCATGATACTTGGTAAATATATATATACAATCTATTTACAGACTATATCACTGTCACACACTATATACATTCACCATCAACACATTCAGAACACCGCGAGTGTGAACAGCCACACCCAGCCAGCCCTCCCTCACTCCTCAACATTGTGTTCACCAACATTGCTCCTCCCATCATACAGTTATTCACACCAATGTTTCATGTTCATTTATGTATATTTACAACATATGTACACACTATACACTGTCACGCACTATATACATTCACCATCAACACATTCAGAACACCGCGAGTGTGAGCAGCCACATGCAGCCAGTCTCCCTCACTCCAACATCTTACTTGCCAACATTGCTCCTCCCACCATACTGTTATTGTTTTTATTACACTATTTACATATGTTATATATACCTATCTACATGTTTTATTTACCAGAACTATTCAAGTAAGCCGGTATTGTGTCCAAACAGTACAGTGGCCATCATATACTGCATGAGAAATCACACAGCAGACGACGCTACGATTGCAACGTCACCTCCCTCACCAAAATAGCTCCTCTCAACACACTCCTGGTGCTGTTATTACACTATACACACACTCTGTATATACCCATGTACATGTGTGTTCCCCATAGTGAACCATAAAGGTGAGCAAAACAAGAGTGGCTGCCACACAGTGAGGCTACCTCAATTCTCTCCCTTCCTCCCTCTCTCACCAAAATTCCTCCTTCCACAATACTATGCACAATGCTAATTATAACCACAATCCTGGTCACTAATTCCTGTAAATGAATAATTGACCACAAGTTTATTTTGAAAAGGAACCTAAAAAGTAGTTTGAAGGTTCCTAGATGAACGAAATAATGCTGTGGTGCTGTGGCTAGCGCTGTGAACATTGTGAACAGCATTGAATTACTGATATTTGAACATTGTACCCAGTCATTATCACACTCAGGCTCTTCTAAAATACTATCATGGCTAACTAAAACAGATTATATATATATTTTGACAATATTAGGTGATGCTGTGGTCACACACTGAACAGCAGTGCTGTGTGCTCAAGCTGCGAGCGCCAGCCTTGGTTGCTCACTCACTACTGAGGTTCTGACACCCGGCAATGTGGACCATGATTTTTTTTTAAGATGGCGTCTGTTTACAAGAGCCCTGAGGAAGCTGATGTGAACCCCATGTAGCCGCGGGAGTTTTGAATGGAACGTGAAAAATAAAAACACCCGGAGGCACACTGCGCACACGAAGCCTGGGCCTGCAGGCGCGTTGCGCAGTTAAAGGGTTAAGATACAATACAGTTTTGCTTATAATTACAGTATTACTGTAACACATTTGTCATATTTGATATGACAAATATGTCATATGGTTAACATGACACCCACACTATCCTCAGATGTGGGAAGACTAGAGTTCAGAGTAAGGCCAGGTTCATATGGCTCTTTGCAATAAATCAGCAATAGTTGCAAGTGGAATATTTTTGGGAGAAGGAAAGTTTAATGTGTTAGGTTCATGTAAGAAAGAGAAAAGGAAATGAACATGAAGAGGAGAATAGAGTAAATGTTATAAGGACAGGTATGAAAAAATGAGAGAAGTATGCGTTTTAATCAATAAAGTAGATCAACGAATGGTAACTTCTCTTATTGTAGTTGAAGGGCTTTATGTGCAAAAACCAGTCAAAAAAAGATAAAACAGCGATTGTTATTACATTTGCCTCAAGTAATGACAATTAAATAAACTTTGACCATTTTGCCGCTTTTGTTTTGGTAATAAACGTATATCAGATTAGAGGATGAGATTGTTGTTGTAAAATGCCCAAAACTGCTCTGTGGTAGTTATTATGTACCTAAATGGACTGTATGAATTATTGAGCTACTTTATTCTAACACCAAGCCTTTATTAGTTATTATATTTTCATTTAGGTAGAATTTGAATAGTTCAGTGGATATGGGGGAAGGTTCTTCATTTAAACTTGATGTGGTCTTTGCTCAAACGACCAATCAAAGGACTGATCATACACCCTGCACATGTTACAGCTGTTGAGGTTAGTTGAGTGGAGACTTGTAAGGTACCTGACCTACGGCACTGTCCCAGAGATGTGAGATAAGGTCACATAAACCCCGTCTTGGGTAGTTTCACAGGTTGGCGGGCTAATTCCTTTTCCAAGAAGTTACCAGCTTCAGGTCCATTAATCCAACAGAAACAGGAGGGATCAAGGGATATAAAAGCTGTGGACAAAGTTGGTTAAAGACACAGACGTTGAGTCACAATAACGTGGCTGAAATATGTTGGACCAAACCACACACTAGAAAGTGAAGGGACGACGACATTTCGGTCCGTCCTGGACCATTCTCAAGTCGATTGTGAATTTTTCATTAGTAGTTTCATTGGTTAAAGACAATGTGTACTGTATTCTTCAACCAAACAGGAGTCTGGTGGTCTAGTGGTGGGCATCACAGGGGAAGGGATGTAACAAAACAGAAATTGGAGAAAGAAAGGAAGAAAACTCAGAGTAAGGAAGATAGAGAGGTGGAAGGGAGGAATGAGGAAGAGCGGTCACAAGAAAGGGAAAGTTTAGAATGAGAGAAAATGAGAGGGGGAAGGAAAGTGCCAAAGGAAAGAAAAAAGAGGAAAGTGCTGCCACCATCCATTCAAGAGTTATTTATAAGACAGGGAATGGAACTTGTCTGTACCACAATATTAACTGATGTTATCACGTAACAGTAAGCATATAAATCATATAGTCAAGAATCTTTATGTCATAATCTTAAAGCAAGTACAATTCAAAATGCTCTTCACTCTCCAAGAACTAGGGATCAGAATTAAAGACAATTTAAAAAGTAAGTTAATCAAGTAAATATTTATTATTCTATATTTACTCTTTACTGCATGTTCAAATGTCAACATTAATGCAGATTTTGAGTCGCCACACAAGAAATTAAGAGCAACTAAGGGGGGTCTATCACAACATTATAAAAATAAACAAATTTCAAACTAAAATATGCTTTAGCAGTTAGTGGAGATGACCACTGCATAACTCACAGGAGCAACATAATGTCATGCAGGTAAATTGTATTATAACAATACTATAGTTAATGCCGAGTATGAGAACTAACAAACTGAGAACTGTACCGTTCTGTTTCAAAAGGACACTCACTATTCTCTCTTGTTATAAGGGCTGAAGGAAAAAAAATGCTAATTTACCATAGTTGGATCACGTTTGTGTAGTTCCCATGCTAATGTCCATGAAGCACCCCGAGCATAACCAGTGTGGTGAAAATATACACGTTTTTCCCATTCCATTCCTGGAAGGGCTATCTCTTGTGAATTTATTACAACAACATGGTCTCCACAATCACCTGAAATAATAAGCTTTACTAATTTCAAAAATTAACTTACAATTACCGGTATATAGTTTTAAACAATATATATTTCGTATGCAAAAGTATGTGATTATGTATGATTAGATTAGTACATTACTATCTAAAATATGTATATTCACACTAATATTCATATCATGCCTAATTTTTTTATCTATGTAAATTGATTTATATCATTTATATAACAAATTTATCTATATAAATTGATTTATAATATATATATTTAGCTATATCATTGACTATAAAATAATGTTGACCTAAGATTAACAGTAAACAAGCATTTTCCTCTTTCTGCTTAATTTTCAGAGTATAATTAGAGAGAGAGAGAGGGTACAAGTGTAATAAAAGTGAAAGGTAAAAAACAGCGTTGAATGTAGTGAAATGCCAGTTTCTGGGTGAGCCCCAGAGGCTCCCTGAAGCTATCTTACTGATCAAGTGTCATACTACTTGAGTGTCATCAGTCCCAGTGTTCTTTGTAAGCCTAGTGGGGACCATGAACCAGAACCTGGCCCCCCTCAGAGAGGTGCAGGGAACAATGGCCATGAACAATTTAAAGTAATTTTGTCATCAACCGGGAAAGGACCCAAAAAAGTAGGCGAATCAAAACGGACCTGGTTGAAAATTGCAAGCTACATCCTCACAAGCAGAAAAGAACTCCCCCAGAAAACAAATAAACAAGCAAAACTTTGTCCAACTAATCCCTCACTCGTTAGCTCCACCCCCAGCAGGGGAAAAGGGTGAGCCAGCCTAGGTATGTCAGGCCGTCACCATTCAGTTCATTGACTGATGCAGTTGTGCCGAGTGGTCTTTGTCGCTCTGGCTCTGTGTTCCCGGCAAACTTAAAGTCAGAAATGGGATGACAACTAGCCAAAGTGGCTGACAAAAACTGAACCACACTGTCCTCTATATATTGCAGAGGACAGAATGACGAAGCATACGGAAGAGCCAGGGTCCAAGCCAAATGCAATGAGTGCCAGTACAGCCTGCTGACAAGCGAGACAGGAGGTGAAAAACACGAAAACCACCTCCTGGAGGATTGGTGCAAACAGTTTCAGCAGAGCAGATGACGCCAAAGAAGCCGAGACAAAGACCCCACACTCTGCGACCCTATGTCTTCTGAAAGCCTCCAGAAGGCCAAAGATTCACAAGACAGAGGCCAAGTGAACAAAAGTCTGAAGGTCATATCATCCAAGGCAGCCGAAAGAGAGGGGACCCGAGCATGCAATTGCACCAGACCAATATCACGAGGAAGCACATGAGCTGAGTGCACACGTGCACAAAGAAAGAGTGGTAGACGGTTGGAACAAGTTAGGTGAGAAGGTGGTGGAGGCCAAGATCATCAGTAGTTTCAAAGCGTTATATGACAAAGAGTGCTGGGAAGACGGGACACCACGAGCGTAGCTCTCATCCTGTAACTACACTTAGGTAAAAACTTAGGTAAAAAAAAAAAAAAAACTCATTGAGGAACTCAAGAGGATCCCTCCACCTCCACGAATACCTGCAACACCTCCCTCCACTCAAGTGCATGGGTACTACAAAAGCTCCAAGCAAAAACAAGGGACAGTCTGCCAGCCAGGAAGACTCTGGAACCTCGTAACACACCCAATACGGGAAAGAAGAACCGAACTCAAAAGAGGCTCGATCCATCACCGAGGCATAAAACTGGGACCCGCAGGAGGTAAGCACCAAGATTCTCCCAAACTTTCGCCAGGGAAATCCAGTAGGCAGAAAACCTCCGGAAAGACAAATCCAGGGAACCCAAAGGCACCCAGAAACGAATCTGGTGGAAGCCAAACCTAACTCAAAGTCATAAAGGGAAGGGAGGGGGGGGGGTAAGAATATCCCCCTATCCTGCAGTAGAAGCCCCAGCACAGAGGAACCAAGAGAGATCAAACGAAACCCAAGAGTTTCACTCAAACTCCCCCAGAGCCCAGGGAACTGTCGACAAAGGCCCCAGGGCAGAGCCCTATTCCACACGCAATGCCTGTGAAGATAAGGCAGAGTCCAGGGGGAAAGGCTTCAAAGAAAGAAGTCAGCTGAGAAGACCAAGAGGCCTCGGTGGGAAGGACAGGCTCAACCACCTCTGCGCCCACTTCGGAAGGGGCAGCCCCCGGAGCCACCCGAGCAAAACCCCGCTCCAACTCAGAAACCCTCAGATGTTTGGGAGCCGGCAGCATGGAATGGGGGGAAAGGGTGAACCACACACACATTTGAACCGGCTCTGGGAACGGATTAAATTTGTAAGTTGAGATACAGAGCACCACTTGGTTTCCGAACCCCTTGGGGACGAGCGAGCGAGCCAGCCAGCCTTTCCCTCCCTCCCTAATTCTCACTACTTCCCTCCCTTCCTGCCTACTTCCTAGCATCTCTCCCTACCTCCCTTTCTGACTAATTCTCCCCCCTCTCGCTCATACTGCCTCCCACCTAAGCCCCTCCATCCATCCACCCACCGGTCAGCCATCACTGACACAATGCGTGCATTTGGAGCCAACATGGTGCACAGATGTTTCTTGATTGTGCAGATATGTAAAACAAAAGCACAGAATGACCATTCCAGCCTTATGACAATTCAAAATAATAGGAATAATAGGCTGTGAATCTGTGAAGTCACAGTGGGCAAACTGGACCATCTCCCACTCACCACCACAGGCTGGCGTGAAACTTGGCGGACCCCTTCCTACCTGAACTTTGTTCGGGTAGCATGACTCTCCAACCCCAATCGGGAAACTGGAAGTTTCGGATAACTAAAGTTCAGAAACCAAGTGGTGCTCTGTACCAATGTACATTAGTTAGAATAAGTGTTATCTTGTTACTCGCTGTCAGCGTAATAGTGTACTTAACGTAATTCATTTTGATTAACTGTCTGTGTATCAACCTGTTAAAGTAATTACTCACTAACTGTTGAGTGTCTTTGTGACAGATTGTACTTAAGAGTGATTAGTCATTGTTTTGTTTGATCAACTGTCTGAGCGACAGATTGTACTTAAAAGTAAATTGCCTTTGATTAGCTGTGATAGTACATAATTAATGTAATTAAGAAATTGTTATTAGATTGGATTTATTGTAAATGAGTGTTCTTGTCTGTGTGATAGAACCAGTAACATGATCAGTTAACCATTTGATTTGATTGCTATTCAAGGGGCGTGTGTTAACATAATTAATTTGATTTACCGAAGATTGTCCGAGTGACAAGTCTTGCTTGTTTGATCGATTGTTTTGTTATTGTTTTAATTGTTCAAATTGTTTTACTGCAATACTTTGGATTGCATTTTGAGTCCTAGTGCACACCTGACCCCACACCTTGCCCAAAATGCTATGAGTATTAGTGGCTTTAGGTATTGTATGTACTAGCTCTGTCTATAAATCCAACATTATGTTTCTAAATCAACTGTATGTACTTTTCCTGAATAAAATGTATTTATTATTTATTTTTTAATCAGTAAGTATTAAAAGAAGGCACCAAGCTGGGAAGGCTATGTAGCACCATTGTGTGTAACAATAAACCAATTTTTTTTTAACAAATAATGCACCTGTATGGTAAAACAAATCCTGTCAGCTGTAAAAATATTGATGCAGTTATTTAAATGAAAAATATAATGAAAGAAATATTACTGGTTTATTTTTATCCTATCTTTTTGTACTGTACAGTATATCCAAGGAAGTGAAAAATTGAGACATAATGCACAATTTAATGAATGATTAGCATGGATTAGCAGTTCAAAAGAAATATGACTTGTATTACATATCAACATGAGATCTTAATGATCCATGGTCAACATGATTTAATAAGGATAATTCAGTACTGTATTTGTAATAATACAAACTATAATTTAAAATCTTTATTACTGATTTTTTTTATTAAGAAGATTAGGTATACACAGCAATGTGCTGCAACCCTATTCTATATGGAATATTACACAGTGTAGATAAAAAACTAGCTATAAGTTTATCTAATACTCCCATCTCACAGGATGGTTAGACATACTGTACATGGAATCAATTTAGAAAATACCAGCCTCAATACAAAAAACAAATCAACTCTGACTAAACAACTCTAAGCAATTTTCACAAGAGGTAAGCACTGAATCATGGAAACATTATATTATAATTACTCTTACCAGTTTCTACAAAACTCCTCTCAAACAATGTATTTTTAAACATGTTTAGGTATACATAGCAATGTGCTGCTTTCCTATTCTGTATAAAGGACCACACAGTGTAGATCAAAAACCAGCTACCAGCTCACCCAACATCCTCACCTCACAGGATGGCCAGTCATACATGGAATTAGGAGAGAACAAAATACTTAATGCTGATCTATTAGCCTCCACTGGCAAAATCTGGGTGCAGCACAAGAATATCTTCCAATATTCCTGAGTGTATGAAGTAATTACAGAGCTCAAAATACCTCATACCATTTGGTATGAAGTCACTGATAACAGGACAATCACAGATATAGTGTTGGAGAGTATGTTCTCTCAAGTAGGACTGAAAACAGATTTTTTTTTCCACCAAGGAAAACCACTATAAACCCATGGAACCGCCTACCCGCTGAAGCCGTAAATGCCAAATTCCAGCTAAAAAATATCATTAAGACAATTGGCGGGCCCTTTAACAAGCCGCCGGCTTTCTGTCCTCTTCGAGGCCACTAGATAGTTAGTGGCCCTTGGGTAAATTCAGTAAATATATACAATAATTGTCAGCGCATCTTCCGAGCAACAAGGACAGCTACACAGTATCTCTTAGAATTACGTAGGTAAACAACAAATGTAACATATTTGTTTACTACAATGTCGATGCTGGCTGTAGAAGTTGAAAAAACCTTGTTTTACTTCGAAATATACTAATTTTATAAGAAAATTCGACGTAAATAGGCGGCAGTAGAGCTCCGATAAGCCAGCGCTAAATCTTCAATATGAAGAATGTTGCTGCTCTCTGATTGGCCAAACGAAACACAGTAGTGACCTCTATCGGCACGCAGGTGAACCAACAATTTTCTTCCTAAGTATACCTTATTGAATCGCACCTAAGCATCTTCTTAGGGCGCACTTAGGAACCTTCGTAGCAAACCCACTTACGAAGAAATACACAGAGCTTCCTGAATCTAGGTCCAGGAACTTGTGCAGTTGCCAGAGATATACACTCACACCCACCCGGGGCAAGACAAAGCCCAAAGCCCCAGACGCACCCCAAAGGAGAAGACCACCACAAGTGAGGAAGTCCGCTAATGACGAGTGAATCCCGAACACCCCCAGGGAAGAGAACCCAGACTGCGAAAGGGCAGTACTCGTGGAGCACTTAGGGAAGGTGCCCCTAAGCACATGTAGCTCCTGTACTCCTTCACTCCTGGCCAACACACACAGAAGGTGCTGGAACAGCCTCACGAGGCAAAACACTCAGATACCGGGAAATCGTGGCCAGAGTGACCGGTGACCGTCAATCACATCAGTCGTGAACTGACCGGTGGCAGCCCTGCTCCCCCAACCCCTTGGGGGTGGTGGGTAGGGGTGGTAGAGCTTGGAGTTCTTTTGATATTTTGGGGGTGTAGGTCATATTTTCAACCAGGAAGTAGTCTGTTTTGATTCGCCCACCTTTCTGGGTGTCTTCCCTGGTCAATGGCAAGATGATAAACTTTAAATGTATAGTGTTCATGAGCCATTGCTTCCAGGTTCTGGCTCTGGTCCCCGGTATGCATACAAGAACTCTGCAACTGATGACCCCCAACAAGTGTGGCACTTAATCAGTGCTAGCTTCAGGGAGCCAACAGGGCTCCCCACATAAATATAAGTTATACTACTTACTTAAGGGATGGTATATTGGTTTATTAGAGCCCGAGAGATAATGTATTATCTTGTTTGCCGAATCAAAGGGATTCTGCCACTTTGCATCATACAAGTACCACATCCTGCCAAATGTTGCCCATTGCTGAAAATATAAATTTCATGATAATGTTTAATATAAAAGCTCCAAAACAAAAAATTATTACACACACACACACATACATACATATATATATATATGTCATACCTAGTAATCAGAACGCACTTCTCAGCCTACTTTGCAAGGCCGGATTTGCCTAATAGGCCGAGTAATTTTCTTTATTTTCAATTATTTTTTCCAAATACTTTATTTGAATTATTATTAATTTTTTATATTAAGACCATAATTTATTGACTTAGTTGTGTTAGTTTAGGTTAGGTTAAGATAGGTTAGGTTAGGTAGGGTTGGTTAGGTTTGGTCATATATCTACGTTAGTCTGATATATGCTGATATAGCATTACTGTAGACACCAACTAATCCAGATTTTGCCTATCCGGAAAACGCCCTAATCCAGCAAAAATCGTGACCAAATAGAGTTATCTCCCCATCCAGACAAAATGTCCATGGAAGCTGGACTATCAGATATTTGGCCGGATCAGAAATCTGAGCCGGTTAACTTGCTACCGATGTTACCCAATCCAGACAATAAGCCGGAGAAGTGGTGAATAGTCCGGATCAGAAAGACAGACGCCAGGCCGTACCGTATTCATCCCGTATGGCTGTGCTTCGAGGCACGTGGTGTAGGCAGGGGGGTGGGGTGGGGTGGGGTGGGGTGGGTGAGTGGTGCAGGAGAGGAGTGTTGGGAGGGACTGGCTGGGGAATAAGGGGGATGTGGAAGGGACCTATACACTACAGGAATTATCATTAATTTTAGAACAATTCACCACAGTCAAAAACAAAAGAAATAATTATATAATAACAAATATACAAGTTTCCTAAAACAATTTGCATAGGCTGAAGTTTGCTCAAAATATATTGCTAGTTGTTTCCGCTTGGCAGCTTACGTAACATGCCTGCCTGCCTGCCCCAAGTGAACCCGTCCAGGCCTGGTCAAGCCGAACAGCCCATGTGCTCCCAGCCCTCACATTATACCACAGTGCTGTGTCATCAGTGAAACATTTTTTTAAATAACTTTTTGATTTTCATAATAACTTTATTCATTTTTGGAAAAGACTATGTCTGATAGCATCATCAGTCGTTCTGGAGGTGTTAAGAAGGTTATCCTAACTATTAAAGATAAAATACGTATTATACAACTTTGTGGAAGTGGCCAGTCGACTTCAAGTGTTGCCAAGGACTTTAATATAGGCACTAGTACTGTTTCTGATATTAGGAAACAAAAAGAGCAATACCTGAAATACATTTCAACCAGTGAGAGTGAAGGTGCAAGCACTAGCTGAGGGTGTGGTAGAAGAACTTTGAAGCCTTCGAAGCATGTACAGTTGGATGAGACTGTGTACAAGTAGTTTGCTCAGCACCGCACAGTTGGCGTGACATTTGCGGCCCAGAAATAAGAAATCCTGCAAGCAGGTTTGCAGCAAACTTTGAAATAAAGGATTTCCAAGCAAGTGAAGGGTGGGTTGCTAGGTTCAAAGGGAGGAACAATATTGTGAAGAGGAAAATTGTTGGTGAAAAATTGAGCGCAGATACAAGCAGTGTAGAACCATTTAAACATAAATTAAGAACATACATTTTGTCAAATAATTGATATTCTTATCAAATTTATAATGCTTCAAAGCATTGGAGTTTTCCGGGGCTCCAAAGCCCCCGCCTTACAAGAAAAAGCTGGGGCAGCCAGAATAGCAGGAAAAGGATGGACCCACTGGTCAGACCCCGGAGCTATGGCTGGAGGAACTGACTCGAATGCCTCCGCAGCCACCCCGGAAGGGACAACCCTCGAAACTGCCCGAGTCTCAAAAACCTCTAAACCCTGCCCCGCCCTTGAAGCCCTCAGATGCTTAGAAGCTGGAAGCAGGGGAGGTGGCACCGAATGAACCACATCAGGGGAAGAACAAGGGGATGCGGATGGAACCAAGGCCAAAGCTACCAACACCCCTAAGTCCGGGTCCCTATAAACAAAATGGGGAAGCCTCGGGGCATCTGGGGAAGCAACCTAAACCTATCTTGAAACGTGCAAGCTGCCTACACCCGAATGTTATCATCATCAGATTGGGTGAACTGAGTCACATACAAGCAACAAAGCTCGCAGGACTCTGGGTCGAGTGTGTCACCGACCCAACAGGCAGCATGACTGAGGCAAAAAACATGAGCGTCAACCTGAGACAAGGGGACAGAGCAACCCTCAAACTCGCAAAAGACGAGAGGAGACTTAGGGGTCACATCCAATGGACCCGAGCGCCCCCGCGGGGTTTCCCAGGACCCCTAGACTGGGTCTGCTAAGGGTTATCCCAGGCAGTGAACTGCTAACCGGCGCCCAAGCTACCAACCAGCACTGCTAAAGCTGAACCACCGGGACGTGTCCACTCACGAGGGCGAAGCGCAGGGTACTACCAAACACAAACCCTAATATAAAGGGGGAAGAGACCAAGGTAGATCCCCCCCCCTGCCAGGCAAAAACAAAAAGAAAAGAAAAACCTCGCAAGATGACAGCATACCCAGAGGGAACAGAGCTAGCTGCTGTTATAGGTGAAAACTAGCTGCACAGTATCCCGTGCCCCTACCAGTGCAAAAACTACCACTTACCCCAAGGCAAACTAGGGAGGAAATCCCCCAAAACACTCGGGGCGACCAATCGCCAAGCAGCGAAAGATCATCAGAGGTAGACCCAAGGTGACTTGTGGAAGGTAACACCAAGTCCCTAGGGCATTACTTACAGGGCACTTAGGGAAGGGAGCCCTAAGTGCATGCAGCCCGAGTACCTAGGAATAATACTCTGAGCTCGCACACCACCGAAGAGAAGTACTGAACCCAGGCCCAGCATAATAAGAATCTGAAGCTGAAGCTACAATGACCAAGCCTTAATCCATCAGCTGAGGAACTAAGGTGTGGATCACTGGAGCGGGGGTCTGGGGCTGCCCCTTTCCCCTCCTGGGGAGGGGGGGAGCTGCGCAGACATGCGGCGCGGCTTGTGTGATGTTAGGCTCGTTTTCAATTGGGGGACTTCTGTCCACTTGTTTCGTTATTTTCGCTGGTTTCACCAGAATAGGGGCTTGTTTTGGGCGCTTACCTTTCTGGGTGCCTGTCCCAGTCGATGGCAGATATAGAATGCTTCAAAATCACATGTGCATTTCTATAGGCCATTGCTCCTCGTACCTCTCTGAGGGGGCCAGGTTCTGGCCGTGGTACCCGGTAGGCCTAGAACTCCACCAACATCGAAAGCCAAAAGTTAGGACTATCCCTATCAGCCTGGATAGCTGGATAGCTCCAGGGAGCCATAGGAGCTTCCCCCAGAAAAGGCTTTCGACAGAGTACCACATAAGAGGTTGTTCTGGAAGCTGGAACATATTGGATGGGTGACAGGTAAACTTCTAACATGGATGAAAAAGTTTCTGATAGAAAATTGAGGGCCGCAATCAAAGGCAATGTATCGGATTGAAGGAATGTCACAAGTGGAGTACAGGTACCACAGGGTTCAGTTCTTGCACCGGTAATGTTCATTGTCTACATAAATGATCTACCAGTTGGTATACAGAATTAAATGAACATGTTTGCTGATGATGCTAAGATAATAGGGATACACATTCTAACTTCAGAATTGCTTTAAATACATGGATGGAGAAATACTAAAGAAATTGTTCACGACTTTTGTTAGAACAAAGCTGGAATATGCAGCTGTTGTGTGGTGCCCATATCTTAAGAAGCACATCAACAAACTGGAAAAGGTGCAAAGACATGCTACTAAGTGGCTCCCAGAACTGAAGGGCAAGAGCTACGAGGAGAGGTTAGAGGCATTAAATATGCAAAAACTAGCAGATAGAGAAAAAGAGGCAACATGATCACTACATAGAAAATAGTAACAGGAATTTATAAAACTGAAGGGAAGATTTCCCGAGACCTGGAACTTCAAGAACAAGCGGTCATAGATTTAAACTAGCGAAACAAATCTGCCGAAGAAATATAAGAAAATTCACTTTTGTAAACAGAGTGGTAGACGGTTGGAACAAGTTAGGTGAGAAGGTGGTGGAGGCCAAGACCGTCAGTAGTTTCAAAGCGTTATATGACAAAGAGTGCTGGGAAGACGGGACACCACGAGCGTAGCTCTCATCCTGTAACTACACTTAGGTAATTACAGGTCACACTCACCTGAACTCTCCTTGTTATCGACATGTTGAGGTATTGTCTTTAATGTTGTTTCTAGTGTATTTGATGTTTCGTGCTCCTGCTTCTTCTTCTTTCTAATACGTGTGTTTACATGTTGGGTGCAGCTGGCGGGAGAAGATAAGTGCGAGAAGAGTATAAGTGAGAGGTGGTGTGACAAGTGAGGGTCGGGGCGGGGGTAGAGGCGCGCGGGGCCACCGCCAGGAGGATCAGACCCTGGCGGCGGCCGCCTCAACACTCTTCCTCACCAACAACCGTTTGCTTGCAAGTATTGTCTTGGAGAATCTCGGGAGAAGTTAACGTCTGAGGTTAGTCTCCCGGGTGGGTGGAATATCGTAAGGGTTAAGTTGTAGTTGGTGCTGCTGTAGCTACTGTAGAAGGTTCAGCCGGGCCCCGGGACGTATATGTGGCACCGTTATACTGCGTGTCCTCGAGGCCTCCTCAACTCTGCTCGTGCATCAGCCTCCACTCTCGCTGTTCTCATGATCCACGCTGGTTGGAAACAAGTCTAGTTAGTTTCTCTCACTATGGGGGGTCTCTGGCTTTGTTGACAGCCAGAGTTTCCTGTGGCATCGCTTTAGGCTGTTACTTTCTATTGTCTTATTGTTTCATATAACATGAGGCCTCAACACAAATGGCCGAGTTTACTTTGTGTAGTTCAGTAGTTATTCCTTGGTGTCTGTATAAGTATTCCTTGTAATGTTGCTTGTAATAAAGTATATTCGCTGTAAAACAACAGCAAATAATTGCTTTAAAGGAAATGTTTGTGTAATTGTTTCATTTGCTATTTAAATAAGTTGACTCTTTACTTAGTCATATTCCTGTATAACTAACATACTAATAACTTGTGGTTGTCTTCATATATTGAGTATGAGAAAAAGATTATTGTAGGACTTTTCATTGCTGTTGAAGATTGATGGTTCTTGCATGCGGTGATTTCTCCAGTGCGATAGATTTTAAAAATGGATTCTGCACTACTTGGGTATGCAAACGACGAGTCGCAATGACGTGGCTTGAAGATACGAGGACTAAACTATACATCAGTAGATGAGGAGATGACGCTGTTTGTCTGTCCTGGACCATTATCAAGTAGATCGTGATAACGATCCAAGACGGACCGAAATGTCGTTGTCTCGTCTTCTGGTGTGTGGTTTAATAATAATTGGATATGTACCAAAATAATCACAGCATTGCTTAACAGTTACTGTCGCCACTCGATTATCCGGACTACATAGGAAGGACCTCCAGCCGAATAATCATGTGTTCCGGATAATGGTACTTTTTCATCTCGGAGTCCAAAAGTGACCATTTCCAACTATTTTTATACTACATAATTTGAATTGCCTTGCCACATATAATTATTAAATATTCAACTAGAAACCTCAACTTACCTTGTTGTTGTTCGTCTTCTTGATTGATGCCACACATCTTGAAGTTAAGAATTCTTAACAATTTATGTAACCTATACTGGCATACTCACACAACATTAAAATTAACACTTAAAATTACAGTACAGTTCATTAAGCAAGGTTAGTTTTGACTGCCAGCTGCTGAAGCCTCACTGGTGGAGGCATTTGGCTTGCCTGTGACGCCTTGCATGTTGAAGGTGTTTGGCTCGCCTGTGACGCCTCGCTTGGCTTGCCTGTGATGCCTCGCTTGGCAAAGGCACTTGGCTTGATTTTCTTACCATATAAGAATCGAGTTTAGCTTGCCTTCTGTGTTCATTGGCCTGTTGTATGATCAGCTCTTTGGTTTGCCTCGGGCTTCACTTCACTTGAAGTCGACCGGCCATTTTCACAAAGTTGTATAACACATAACTTGTCTTTAATTGTTAAGAGGAAGAAGGTTGTCCTAACACCTCCAGAAAGATTGTTGCTGCTGCCAGACATGGTCTTGGCCAAAAATGTTTAAAGTTACTATGAAAATAAAAAAGTTGTTTAAAAAATATTTCACTAATGCACCTTGTACAGAGGATCTGTCAACAAGAACATATTTTGGTTGTTTATATATAATAGCTGTGACATGCTACTGAACCTTGTATCCTAATAACACTGGAAGCATCGCAGTGGGCTTTTTGGCTTGCACTATATGGATAACCTTAATTTGTTTTTCTGCAATCCCTATCCAATTTTTTTTTTTTATTTGTACTGTATATAAAAGTTCTTGTAAAGCCACTAACTTGCACAGTATTTCTGGGAAGGTCCTTAATCTTGAATAAGGACCTGGAATACAACTGCCAAATTGTATAACAACCAGGTACCTATTTGCTGTTGGGTGAAGTCATACAGTTAAGGATTGGTGCCTAGTCAATTCTCCCCGGCCATGATACGAACCCTGGCCAAATTGTTGGTGAAGCGCAGGAGTGTTACCACTTTGCCACAGGAACTGACTATTCCTAATGCCAGTTAAACTTTGTCTCGATAATGCATGTCACCAGTTCATTGCACTTGTCTACAGCAATATTACAGACCAATTCTTCCCAATGTTCCTTCTGAAACAATTTGTTTGGCTTGTTTCCACTTTTTTTTTTTTTTTTTTTTTTTTTTTTTTTTAATAGTTCTTGACCAGTTTCAACAGTTTTAGCACCCCGTTCATCTGCCTTGTTTATGCACCAAACACACTTGAAAACTTCAATCATATCCTCCTAGGTCTCTCCTGCCAGTGCAGATTGAGACTTTATTCTGTCCTCATAAAGAGTACCAGGTATCAACCTGGTTTTTCTTTATATTTTCTCAAGATTTATGTAAACAAAGAAGCCTCAGTTGAGTCGCACCTCCCCTCCTAAAAGAACTTAGGTTGGGTACACGTAACGGATGGCGGCGACTTTGACACACGTTTGTAGTACGTGAGCAAAGCATTTTCAAGCATTGTGGTCAAACAAAAGTTTTTGGTAAAGCACTTGTTCTGAAAGTGTTTGTTCCAGAAGTATTTGAACGTCATCAGTTGAGTCGTGTGTAAACCGTTTTTCATTCATAAATGGGGTTTGACAGGGGCATGGAATGGACTTTGGCTTTTGTTTATGAGGATGGGCTGGAACATCGCCTGCTTTAAGTTCAGTGATACCTGAACAGTGTATATAGTCTTTAGCACTATTAGTATATTCTGTCATTATTACTGTATATGTAGCAGCTATTTAGTTATGATTTAGTGCTGCATGTGGTACTCTTTGTTGCTGTCTTGGTACTGAGGCCCTCGCACTCGGTCGGCCGAGTGGACAGCACGCTGGACTTGTGATCCTGTGGTCCTGGGTTCGATCCCAGGCGCCGGCGAGAAACAATGGGCAGAGTTTCTTTCACCCTATGCCCCTGTTACCTAGCAGTAAAATAGGTACCTGGGTGTTAGTCAGCTGTTACAGGCTGCTTCCTGGGGGTGGAGGCCTGGTCGAGGACCGGGCCGCGGGGATACTAAAAAGCCCCGAAATCATCTCTAGATAACCTCAAGATAACTCGGAAGTTGGGCCCACGATTTTTTTTATTTTTTTTTTAACTGCATCCGTTTGGTATTTCCTATGGAAGTTTTAAAGTCTAAACCTAGGTTGACATTTGTACCCCTGATGAAACGACGCTGTTAATATGTGCATTTGTTGGTTTAAGGGTCGGTTTTTTTCTCTTGAGTAATGTTTTTCTAACTTTTGCAATTTGCTATTTTTTAAAATTCTCTACCCTAGTAAGCTACTTATGACATTTATTGTACTTTTACATCCAGTTGATTTCCAAATGTATAATCTTGTAGATGTGTAACCAATTAATGAATCTTAATGTTTCCAGTGGCTTATGTGTTAGCTGAGGAAATGTTTCACACTGGAAATTACGGCAAAGAGCCCAGCAGAGGATGGAGGGGCGGTTATGGAAGAGGTTCACGAGGAGGAAGAGGGCGAGGCAGAGGGAGACAGAACAATCAAGAGGCAGTTGGGCATGCATTAGCAAATTTAAATGTAAATGAAGAGGTACCTGAAGGGTTAATAGAGCCGTGTAAAGTGTATGTTGGAAATTTGCGTCAAAGGGTAAGTGATTCAGAGTATTTTGATAATATTTTGTCAAAATTTCAACCCATCTTGTTTAGATAGTACTGTTTGTACCTACTGTATGTGGACCTTTGTACATGCCTAGACGTAATGGATAAATATTTGGAAAATAAAGCTAAAGACCAAACTTAAATGTTCCTGGGCCTAGTATAGTGCATACATGTACAGTACTGTATTAGGCCTAGGAACGTTAGGTTAGGTTATTTTTCTTTGCAACACAAGTACAAACTTGTCTGGTTTGTTCAAATTCAATAGAAAAGATTTCTACTTTCTAATTGCCTTTTACGTCACTGTATGTACGATGGTTCTCGGTTATTACAAGTACTGTACAGTACTACCTAAACCGGATGGTGAGCTGCTAAATTTGCACGATACAAAAAATTTCCTTGTACTAGTATTAGTAGCAATAATGTGTGTCATTAATCTGTAAAGGAATAAATTCCCTAGTAGTATATTATTGGCCTCTTTTTAGTAAGATTAAACTGCTGTAAAAGGTAGCGTTATGGAAATTAAATATTGTGCGGCTATTGTTAAAATTAAATTTTATGTGGAGGGGACAGCTGGACTTGGCAAGCAAGTGAGAGGAAATGGTGATTTAAGTGTGAAAAACAGAATATGCTTGTCAGTAACTTATGGGGTAGTGATGTATAGCTCTTTATTGCAGCCTTCTAGTTCTGGACCGTCTCTCTGGATGTTAAAGTTCAGAGTGGTATTTTTCTTGAAGTTGTGGATGTCAATGGCTTGAATACCTTCTTTAAATATATTCAATTGCTGTGACCACTCATACAGGGTACAGGAATTTCTGGGCATCTGTTGGATTCTATTGTATCCAGCTTCCACTGATGTGCATGTCTTTTCCCTTAATGTCTTTGTTGTAGTTAGTCTCTTTCCTTTCAATTCTGGTACTGTACTAATCTAGTTGCAAACTTCTGTACTTTCTGAAGTTTCCATCTGTGCTTAAAGAGGAACAGATTGAATGGTGATAGTGATCTCGCATGAATGTCAAGTATGGACTCTAAACCCTCAACTGATGTTTTTTAAAATGTTCTTTGGTTTGCCAGCTTACATGCTACTGCTATTGTCCAACTTGTCCTCGGACCAAGTCCATTCCATTCATTGGTAGACCCCAAATATGCATTCATTAATTGTAACATGCTGTTCATTCAAAATAGGAATTTTCTCAAATATAAATTTAATGTTTTATATTAGCATACAGTGCATATATAGGCATTGGTTTGGTTAGGTTAGGCGTTTAGGTTCTGGTGGCGGTTACAGTGGCACCTCAACTTAAGATTGCCCCGACTTACGATAATTTTGAGTTACGATGTAAATTTGATCGAAAAATGCAACTCGACATACGATGGTGTTGTCGACTAGCAATATTTGTTGGTACACGTTTGGGTCGACCGAGCGCGTGGTTCCCGGTCACGCTGGCTGACCTACCTCTGTTTACTTCAGCTGCCCGTTTAGTGACGATCACGCCTATAAGAAATTCTGTTTTTGTGATTTTTTTTTTTTTGCGTTTTGAACATAAGTAATTATTATATATCACGCCATGGGTCCCAAGAAAGTCGGTGGTAAAGTTCAACATATGAAAACCCATGTAAGGATGACCATAGAGCAAAAACAAGATCATTCGTAAATATGAAGATGTGCGGGTTGTTGAACTAGCTAGGCAGTACAACAAATCTCGGTCAACGATATCCACCATATTGGCTAAGAAAAAGGACATTATGAGTGCTAAAGTGGCAAAAGGTGTATCAATAATCACGAAACATAGAACACAAACACTTGAGGATGTTGAACAGTTATTATTAATTTTGATACACAGCAAGGAGTTAGCGGGTGATAGAGTTTCAGAGGCCATCATTTGTGAAAAAGCAAGGCAATTGCATAAAGACCTTTTAAAGAAAACCCCTGGAACGAGCAATGCAAATGCGAAAGAGTTTAAGGCAAGCAGGGGATGGTTTGAGAAATTTAGAAAAAGTGGCATTCATAGTGTTCTGAGGGTTGTGTGTTGTGAGCTGGTGGAGGAACACGGCGAAGAACTGACCACCGAAGAACTTCACAAGGAGCAGCAACAAGACAGAGCTGAGGAAATTTCTTCAGGGGGGGAGGAGGAGAGAGTACAGAATATCCCTGCCTCATTAATTAACACTTTCTGCGGATGAGGACTCCTCCCGGAGTCCTGTTTCGCCTACCCGCTCCCGCATGGTGGACATAAATTTGTCCTCTTTTAAAATATTTGTATAAAATTCGATTTTAATCCGATTTACTTTGGGTTTGTTTCAAACTGCGCGCCATGAGGCTCTCTCACCACTAGGCTGCATGGTACAATAAGTTCATGAAAGGTGTGGACCACTTCGATCAAATGGTATTATGTCCCAAACGGGTTGCAGGTGGGTGACTTTAGCCGTTTATACTGGTAATGCTTCCCCCATATCATGTATTGTATGCATATGTCTGTTTAGGGAATTTTATTCCGATCAATGTACAACCAAAAATAACTGTGCAACAAGTATAAACTTGACAAACATAACAAAAGTAAAAACATTTCGTGTGTGTTTGACGCTCGCTGATATGTTCCAGCGTTGTTTTATATTTGGCGCTATTCTATCTTACGCTTTGTTGATCTTTTTTACCTACGGGCTCATAGAACATTCTATTGCGAACACATTGACACAAAAATGAATGACGTACATAGAATAATAATGTCATGAGAGTGAAATAAGTATAAACTTTCAAAGCGCCGTATCACACATGTGTCGTCCCGTCACCAATACCGGGTAACAATTTCACCACTTCCCACACTCTTGCGGGTGGGCCGCAATCATTATTCTACGCTTATATTCATATCACCGTGTTGGGAATTTCATTGCGAGTCCATTGATACGAAAATTAACACTGTAGGACAAGTGTGGAGGTGATAACAATCCCAAGAGTAAAAACATTTTGTTGCTGTTGGGCGCTCACGGCGAGTCATCTTCGTAGTTATTTGGTGCTGGTATCCCTATACGTTTTGTGACTCTTTTTACTGATGTTCTTCTAGAGAATTTTATTGCGAACACGTTGGTACCAAAATGAAATACGTAGCTCGAGAACTAAGGTCAGGAGAGTAAAAAGAGTATACACATTTTTGTTTTTACGCTTACGCGGCAAAAACGCCGCGCGCACATACCGCTTTTTTTTTTTACCATCCCAGGGGGTGCGAAAGTGTTAAGAAAATGTGTGCAGCATGGTAAGAATTGCAAACTTTTGCTGAAACGACTCTCCCAAATCACAGTGCAGTAAACCGTTGCCTTGAGCCTTTTAATGACACTGTGATGCCTCGCTACAGACAAAAATTAAAACGTGTGGAAAAACAAAAATCTCTGGAAAGGTTTTTAGTGAGACAAACAAGCAGTGAATCACAACCAGGTCCTAGTGGTATGCAGGCAAAACATAGTGTGTACCCCAGAGAAGTCATCTGTTATAACAGTAACACCTCTCCTCCTATCCCCCCCCCTCTTCACCTTCTTCCATACGCATCATGAGTCCTCCATAAAGGTAAGATAAACATATGTACTGTATTGTAGTTAGGAAAAAAACATTGTATTCAGTATAAAATGTATTTGTAAGTTAATATTTTGGAGGGTGGGGAACGGATTAATTCAATTCCCTTTATTTCTTACGGGAAAAATCACTTCGACTTACGATGGTAATCCATTCCCAGAGACGGATCGTGAGTCGAGACCCCACTGTACTTGTATTTGTAGTGTGTGGGTGAGGCATTTACAGTGTTGTGGTTCGAACAAAAGTAATCGGTGAAGCATTTGTTTGAGAAGTGTTTGAACGTCATCAGTTGAGTCGTGGGTAAAGTTTCATTCATAAACTAGCCCGACCTCATAAACAAACGCCAAACTCCATTCCATGCGCTTGCCAAATCCTCCGTTTATGAATGAAACTGTGTACACGTGACTTGAGCAGTGAGCTTTTAAACATGACAAAGGATAGTGTGTAAGTGCTGATAACCAAAATAGAAAATTTAAATGTGGTGATTGTCCTTGTATATAAATACAGATGCAAATTCTCAGCAGTTTAAAGACCAACTTATGATAAATCGAATTCACCTTAGAAAATCTCAAATCTTGCTCCAACCACCTTGCATAGTGGTTTGAACCTAAGGCATCTAAAATGGAGGAATGTGGCAAATGGTTATGAGAGAGAGAGAATCCCAGGAAGCGGTTAAATACTGTCTCCACTCGATCATCCGGACTATATGGGAAGGACCCCCAGCCGGATTATCACATTTTTCGGATAATGGTACTTTTTCACCTACGAGTCCAAAAGTGACCATTTTCAACTATTTTTATACTACAAACGACATAATTTGAATTCCCTTACCACATACAATTATTAAATATTCAACTAGAAACCTCAACTTACCTTGTTGGTGTTCGTCTTCTTGATTGATGCCACACATCTTGAAGTTAAAAATTCTTAACAATTTACGTAACCTATACTAACACAACACTAAAATTAACACTTAAAATTACTGTACAGTTCATTAAGCTAAGTTAGTTTTGACTGCCAGCTGCTGAAGCCTCACTAGTTAAAGGCATTTGGGTTGCCTGTGAGGCCTCACTTGTTGAAGGCGCTTGCATGCCCTCACTTGTTGAAGGCGCTTGGCTTGCCTGTGATGCCTCACTTGTTAAAGGCACTTGCTTGCCCTCACTTGTTGAAGGTGCTTGGCTTGCCTGTGGCACCTCACTTGTTGAAAGTGCTTGGCTTGCCTGTAATGCCTCACTTGTTGAAGGAGCTTGGCTTGCCTGTGGCGCCTCACTTGTTGAAGGCGCTTGGCTTGCCTGTAGCGCCTCACTTGTTGAAGGCGCTTGGCTGCCTGTGACGCCTCACTGGTTGAACAACACGTAGCTTGTCTTTAATTGCTAGGACAATCTTCTTCCTCTTAACACTTTCAGAACGATTGATGCTGCTACCAGACATATTCTTGGCCAAAAATGTTCAAAGTTACTATGAAAATTAAGAAAGTCATTTAAAAAAATATTTCACTAATGGCACAGCACTGTGAGGCTGCACTGGTTGAGGTGTATAACAGTGACTTGTCTTTAATTGTTAGGACAACTTTCTTCCTCTTAACACCTTCAGAACGACTGATGCTGCTACCAGACATAGTCTTGGCCAAAAATGTTCAAAGTTACTTTGAAAATAAAAAAGTTATGTAAAAAAATATTTCACTAATGGCGCAGCACTGTGTATAACACGAGGGACGGACGCACATCGGTTGACCAGTGTTGGACGGGTCCACTTGGGGTGGGGCAGCTATAGCACGTTACATAGGCCGCCAGGAGGAAAAAAATTCACAATATTTTTGAAGGAAACTTCAGCCTGTGCACAATGCTTTTAGGAAACTTATTTATTTGTTATTACTTAATTACTAGTACTTATTTCATTTGTTTTTGGCTATGATTAATTGTTCTAAAATTAATGGTAATTCCTGTACCCAGGTGGTCCCTCCTGACGCACCCCTCCCACCCTCCCAACACCACCCACCCACCCCACCCCCTCCTCCACAGTGCGTCTAGAGCCACAGACGGGATTAATACGGTATGGCCGTATTTTCATCCGGCCAAACCAGCTTTTATCCGGTTCCTGTGGCCATTTTGGCCGGATATTGTGATAACTTTATCCGATCACGATTTTGGCCGTATAAGGGCGTTTTCCGGATGTTTGAATCCCGGATAATCGCGGGGTTACAGTAGTCGTGTAAATTACCCAGTACCTCTCGTGGATGACAGATTTGCATTAAACCAACAAATAGTGGAGCCAACTAGAAAACACCCAAGGTCTTTTTTTTTTTTTTTTTAAATTCCGAGTTGATTAGGGTCACACTGTGTTGTGATCTTGTAAGGTGTTTAACATCATGACCTACACTAGATTGTGAGTATCGTGTAAAAATTGAATTTTTGTACCAGTTAGGTGCCTTCCAAATGTCAAACATGTTCAGTAGAACTTCTGGTTGTGATACCTAAAGCTCAATGTGGTCCAGTGGGTGGTAATGCTGGTCTCTTAGGATGTTCTATTCCAGCAAATAGCCTCAAAATTTATTTTGGCTGTTATTCTCGTCAATAACTGGTATTTGACCATTATTCTGGTTATTTTCCAGGTTGGTGAGAAGGACCTGCATAAGGCACTGTCGCACTATGTTCCTGTGGTGAAGGCTATCATTATCAAAGATAAGATCACTAAGCGAAGTAGAGGATATGGTTTCGTTACGGTTGGAACAGAGGAAGATGTGCAGACGTAAGTATTTTTTTGGCTCTTAAATAACCATTTGTATTGGATTACGGTATTAAGTTTTGATTAATGGGAGTACAGTATTGACAAAAGGACTAAATTTTGACATTATCCATTATGGGTTATTTCATATGGGTTTATAATTTTTATTGCATATAAACAATGTACACCAGAAAAAAACACTATTTTCTGTGGCACTTTTCCTCTGGTAAAACCACCTCTTCTCCTCCTGCCCTCACCCTGGGGGGGGGGGAGAGGCACCATGACTAGGTAGTGCCACCTCTCCTTCCCTCTCCCACCCTGGAAGGGAGGCACCAAGACTAGGTAGTGCCACCTCTCCTTCCCTCCCCCACTCTGGAAGGGAGGCACCAAGACTAGGGAGAGCCACCTCTCCCTCCCTCCCCCACTCTGGGGGAGGGAGGGAGTGGTGGAGAGGTGCCTCCACCATGCCCCCCACTCTGGGGGGCATGGTGGAGGCTGCCATATGGGGGAGGGGGGGAGGCCTTCATGGTATTGTATAAAAGAGTGGTTGGGTACTGTCAAGTCATACATAAGACTTTCCCATAGCTTATTTTTCAATTGTCAAAAGTATGTAAATGAAACCAATGTTAACATAGACCCACTAGTGTTATGCTGTAACCCACACTGCCCAAGTGGCCCATACTGTGATCACTCTCGGAGCTAGTCTTCTTTACTCTCGCACAGTGCTAAAAGAGCAGGATAGTTTCACAAGCAAGTGTTGGCACACTAGTTCTTTTTCTTGACACATCATCTACAGTCAATGAAGTCTTGCTTTATACTTAGCCATGAGAATGGTAAAAGCTCGGTATTATAGGGAAACTATAACCTATAAATTTTTATCATCCCTAGCTAATATTTCCAATTTTAAATATTTCCACTGTATATTGCAAAAGTACTGTTAGGAGTAGGCAGAACCCTTGATGTGTTACTAATGTTCTTGACCCTTACATAATGTGCAGTATTTCATGGGCTGTAAGCAGATTAATATACCTGGTTGATGGGGTTCTGGGAGTTGTTGTACTCCCCAAGCCCGGCCCGAGGCCAGGCTTGACTTGTGAGAGTTTGGTCCACCAGGCTGTTGCTTGGAGCGGCCCGCAGGATCACATACCCACCACAGCCCGGTTGGTACGGTACTAAAGTCTTCTCTTGAAGATGTACACTGTTCCGGCAATATTTCTTATGCTCACTGGGAGGATGTTAAACAACCGCGGACCTCTGCTGTTTATACAGTGTTCTCTGATTGTCATAAGCTGATAGCATTCATGTTAGTAAGGTGTCATTAGTGTGGCAATTTTATGGCAACCTGGGCAGTAGTTTAGGAGGCAATGTAGCACTCAATTACTAGAATAATGGCTACTGAAAACATGTCTATTATGTCGCCATCTGCTTTGTACTAAAAACGGTTTTATGTTAAGGTATTTTACTTTTAAGTTAATAATGCTATATTTATCCCAAACTTTCCATTTCAGGTTATTAAACTTAAAGGATGGGCATCGTTACATCCAAGGACAAGAAATGGTTATAAGACCAGCGAAAAAACGAGTTGTTGTTCCTGGAGATGACGATTTTGTGCGTCGACCTTTTCCTGATCGGGACTTTGATTTGAGCCAACCTGATCCAAACCAACCATCCATTCACATGCTGGTAGATGATGTTCTTTATAAAATCATGGAATATTTATCGGTTCCAGAATTAGTCCGTTGTGAAAGAGGTAAGTTGCATTTATAAAATGCTCTTGGTGTTTATTTATTACCTTACCCATGTGTTTTGTCAGTCATGTTGTGGTTTTACTGATTTACATTGCATACATTCGGCAAACTCCCATTTTCATGTGGTGGGGGGGGGGGAGAGCATTAGGTCAGAACATAAATTTCAGCCTTGATTCAAGTGAACTACAGAATGTGAGATCAAGCTTGATTCATTGGAGTGAATTTCTGGAGGCATTTGTGAGATGCCATTTTTTAAGGCGAAAAATGCCATTAATGTACATTTCTTCAGCAGTTCTGCTAATGTTACTTCCACCTACAAAATTCATAAACATTATTAAAGCAATGCTAAGAATTACCATTAATTCACTAATACAGTGGAACCTTGGTCTACGAATGCCCCAGAGTATGAATTTTTCGGTGTACAAAGTCGATTTCATGGTAAAATTTTAGTGTATGAAGTTTGCTTCGGAGTCTGAAGTGGTTGTTTGGTATCCACTCTATTAACAAGCTATATGAGGCTGTATCCAAGTGATTACATTCTGGGCTCTATCTGGAGAACTTAAAAGGTCACTAACTTTGTTGTTATATTTGGGAGGGCAACATGATGGATGGATGGGGGGGGGAGACTGGATGGATGGATGGATGGGGGGGGGGGAGACTGGATGGATGGATGGATGGGGGGGGGAGACTGGATGGATGGATGGATGGGGGGGGGAGACTGGATGGGGGGGGGAGACTGGATGGATGGATGGGGGGGGGGAGACTGGATGGATGGATGGGGGGGGGAGACTGGATGGATGGATGGGGGGGAGACTGGATGGATGGATGGGGGGGAGACTGGATGGATGGATGGGGGGGGGACTGGATGGATGGATGGGGGGGGGACTGGATGGATGGATGGGGGGGGGAGACTGGATGCATGGATGGGGGGGGAGACTGCATGGATGGATGGATGGGGGGGGGAGACTGGATGGATGGATGGGGGGGGACTGGATGGATGGATGGGGGGGGAGACTGGATGGATGGATGGGGGGGAGACTGGATTGATGGGGGGGGGGAGACTGGATGGATGGGGGGGGGGGGGACTGGATGGATGGATGGGGGGGGGGGGGGACTGGATGGATGGATGGGGGGGGAGACTGGATGGATGGATGGGGGGGGAGACTGGATGGATGGATGGGGGGGGGAGACTGGATGGATGGGGGGGGGGAGACTGGATGGATGGGGGGGGAGACTGGATGGATGGATGGGGGGGGAGACTGGATGGATGGATGGGGGGGAGACTGGATGGATGGGGGGGGAGACTGGATGGATGGATGGGGGGGGAGACTGGATGGATGGATGGGGGGGGAGACTGGATGGATGGATGGGGGGGAGACTGGATGGATGGATGGGGGGGAGACTGGATGGATGGATGGGGGGGGAGACTGGATGGATGGGGGGGAGACTGGATGGATGGATGGATGGATGGGGGGGGGAGACTGGATGGATGGGGGGGAGACTGGATGGATGGATGGAGGGGGGAGAGACTGGATGGATGGAGGGGGAGACTGGATGGATGGGGGAGAGACTGGATGGATGGGGGGGGGAGACTGGATGGATGCGGGAGAGACTGGATGGATATATGGATGGATGGGGGGGGAGACTGGATGGATGGGGGAGAGACTGGATGGATGGATGGGGGGGGGAGAGACTGGATGGATGGGGGAGAGACTGGATGGGGGGGTGCAGACTGGATGGATGGGGTAGAGACTGGATGGATGGATGGATGGGGGGGGAGAGACTGGATGGAATAGAGTGGATACCAAACAACCACTTCATACTCCGAAGCAAACTTCATACACTAAAAAATTTTACAACTCCCTCTGTCTCCGTCTCCGTCTCTCTCTCGAACCCTTCCAAGGTCTCCTGGTTTGCTGCCACCTCTCCTAGCACCATGACCTCTCCTTGTTCTATTGTGAAGACCTCCTGGAATCTTTTTGTCGAGTTCTTCTCATACCTCTGTCATTCTGTGTGTATCTGTCCTCGCCCGATAAAAGTTTCATCACCTGTTCCTTCACTGTTGTTTTCCTCCTGATGTGGCTGTGTACTAGCTTTGGTTCGGTCTTGACTTCATTAGCTATATCATTTTCATACCTTTTCTCGGCTGCTCTGGTATCTCTCTCTACTTTCTGGTGTTCTGTTATTATGGAAGTTCCTCCATGCCCTTTTGTTCAGCTCTTTTGCTTTCATACATTCCCTATTAAACCACGGATTCTTCTTTTGCTTCTCGGGTTTTTCCTGTCGGGCCGGGATAAACCTGTTTACCGCCTCCTGACACTTTTGGGTGACATACTCCATGTCTTGTACGGACTTAATTCTGAGTTCTGTGTCCCATGGTATATCCCTTAGGAATTTATTCATCTCCTCATAGTTTCCCTTTCGGTACGCCAGCCCTTTGTTACCCAGTTCTTATTTTGGGGGAGACTTCCTAGCTCAACCAGGTACTCGCAGCTTAATACACTATGATCACTGATTCCCAAGGGGGCTTCCAACTTAACTTCCCTTATAAATGACTCATTTAGGGTAAATATCAGATCAATCAAAGCTGGTTCATCCTCTCCTCTCATTCTTGTCGTTCCCTTGACGTGTTGGCTTTGAAAGTTTGTTGCCACGTCTTGCCTATTTAACTACCTTGATATTATTGCCACCTGAAATACTTTTTTTTTTTTTTTTTTTGTGTGAAGCCAATTTTAAATCATTGAACAATTATCTAAACAAATTGATATGACATAATTAAGATATCTTATGTTAAAATAAACATAATTCATTTGATAAGCAATAAGAGTTTAATGGTAAATCTTTGAAGAAACCTTCCACGGTGTTAATTTTGACACGTTTTATATTCTTCAGTGTGTCGACGGTGGCAGATGCTGGTTCATGGGATGTTCACAAAAATGAACTCTTTGGAAATAGCACCAGGCAAATTAGGGCTGTTTGGTCCAGTAACAGGTGCCATACTTGGCAAGCTGCTGTTGCTTGCTGGTCCCACACTAAAGTCACTCAAGGTACAGAGTGTGGACTACTGCAGTAGACGAAATGTCTTGAAAATAATTGGTAAGCATAGCTTGTAAGCATTAATTGATATTTGTAATACTGTATTATATATTATTGGAAAGATAGTTATGGTGTATTAGATTTATAGGAAGTATAATTTTTATTAAAACAAATGTGGAAGCTCTAGCATGAACTTGGTCGAATGTTAGACAGGACACAGTGGCACCTTCACCAGATATTATCCCCCCCTCCCCCGAAAAGAAAAACTTCGACAAACTCTATAAATTCATGTGTTTACCAACGTATAATGTATACTGCCCAACCCTTGTTTTGATCTTCAAAGGCCCATTTATTCCAAAAATGCATGTGTGTCCAAGCCGGCATTTTGCCATCCTCCACACTCATAAGGCAAGAGGTCTAGTGTTGAGTTTGGTGGCTGGCCACAGAGATGGCTCGGCACGACTTTTGCACCTGGTACGACACTAGTCGGTTGTTTTTCTTTGCTCCCACAGCCATCAAATCTTTTCTATGTTTCATTTTGGTGACTATTGCATCGTGACACTATAGCTTAAAAAAATTGCTGATGTGTTGTTCAGGGCTTTAATGAGCATTGATGCTTAAAGAAAACGCTGATGAATTTTGATAAAAAAAAAAACACGTTAAATTTTATGTAAAATTTAATGAAATTCCTCTTTCTGGATAAGCTCTTGGTTTCCTAATGCTATCTCACTAAGATAACTCCCAACATCTAAATCACATCACTTAAGGAGTTCTGTTTAGCCTACTGGGGACCAGAGCCAGAACCTGGCCTCCTCAGAGGCACAAAGAACAGGTGACGCCCCACTAGGAAAGCATCCAAAAAGTTAAAGCAATACTGACCACTACTGGGTTCAAAAGAACTTAAGCTTCAAAATTGCCAAACAAACTCCTCAATGTAAATAAAAGATCAGAACTCTTGAAACTAGCTCGAGCTTGTAAGTATCAAACCTCTGCCACTAAGGGGCCTTAGAACCCCAGAGCTCTTCCTCTCCCCTTCTCCTCCTCCTCCCATCCTCCCCCTCCCCTCTTCCAAGTCAGTTCTAGAGCAGGTGTAAAGCCCTCAACTGCCAGCCAATGAATCTTGTAGAGAGAGTTGGGGAACCACTGGGGCTCATTCTGAAACAGGCATTTAATTACATTCAGCACAGGGTTTCTGGGAGATCCATATGGCTCCCTAAAGCTAGCTAACCACAGAGAAGAAACACAAGGGGACATACCTAAGAGGAGGAAAGATGGCAGGCATTAAGACAAAGCAAGACAACAGACTAATTGGGCCTAGGAACATGGACAAATGAATGGGCTGCCGAGACTCAAAATCCCACAAAACCTCATACCCAAATAGCATCCGAGGACAACTTGAAAAAGACATCCGCAATTGTTTCATGTTTCCCAACTTAAAGGCCACGAGGATATACTGCTGGCTGTATTGGCCAGCAGTGAATTATGAAAGTTGTTGAAAAGTCGGACAAGTTGATACATACCAGTATCGGGTAAATTTTTTATAAAAGTATTCCGGTGACACTATAATTTCTGATGTGACTATTTGAGCGTTTTGTTCATTGATGGGTTGCCTAGTTGTGCTTGCTTGGTGGTACATGTTACACTGAAATTCACACATCTTCCATAATTAATAAGCAAGGATCATTGTCTCAAGATTTTAACTCTTCCCTGAAGTATTTGTATAATATTTTTAGAAGATTGTAAGATCCATGCACAACAAATGGGCAACCCTTGGAAATGGGCAAATGGGAGCCGGTCAGCCGAGCGGACAGCATGCTGGACTTGTGATCCTGTGGTCCTGGGTTCGATCCCAGGCGCCGGCGAGAAACAATGGGCAGAGATTCTTTCACCCTATGCCCCTGTTATTTAGCAGTAAAATAGGTACCTGGGTGTTAGTCAGCTGTCACGGGCTGATTCCTAGGGGTGGAGGTCTGGTCGAGGACCGGGCCGCGGGGGACACTAAACAGCCCCAAAATCATCTCGAGATAACCCTTTACGTTATGATTGGTAAATCTTTTGTCTTGCAATTGAGCTGTGGCTCTTTAGTCCCACCTCTTGGCTGTCAATCGACTGGTGTGCAGGTTCTTGAACTTCTTGAGCTCTTATCATATCTGTTTGAAATTGTGTGGAATCTGCCTCCACCACATCACTTCCTAATACATTCCATTTATTAACTACTATGACACTGAAAATTCTTTTTAATGTCCGACTCATTTGGGTACTCTGCTTTCACCTGTGTCCCCTTGTTCGCGTACCACCCGTGTTAAATAATGTGCTTATCTACTTATTGTGTGTGATGGTTGTGCATTTCCTTGACCTTGTATTTAATAAGTTACTAATTGTATTCACAGGGCAGTTGTGTCCTGTACTTCAGTGTCTTGATGTCACCCAAGCTCTTGGTATAAACTTCCAGAACATTAGTGCTCTAAAAGTCAGCTGTAGAAATCTTAAAAGCTTCATTGCAAAGGTTTGTACTTTATAATTTTGTAATTGCATGCTAAGGATAAGATATTAAAAAAAATCCAGATTTCTGGTATATCAAATAAAATAGGAAAGTGTTAGAACTATTAAACATTTTCTTTTCGTCTGGACTTTGAGCCCACCTAGCATGCGTCACTTCTGTAGTGGAACAGAAGGGTTCAGTGAGGTGTGACCGATTCAAGTGACTAGTTGTGGCTGGTGGGTCTAACAGGACTTGGATCATTTGAGCATTAGAGGGTTGGTGTATCTGTTGGTCACTGTGCTGCCATTCAGACCCTCCACTGGTTACCTACATATACACATTGGTGTCTTTAGGGTTGCTTGTCTCTCTCTCTTCCTACCCCTGTTGGGCTCCTTGGTGGGTGCGGGTGCAGGGAAGGAAAGTCGGGTATATTTTATTGTATGCTCTTCTACTAAATAGTCCTTCCTGCCTCACTCATGGTGGGCAACCAGGGCCTTGGAATTGGATTGGCCTATAAGTTCAGTTTACAAGGGGGTGTGCTGCCTGTTAACTCCACAGCTCCTGTATTGGCCACTGACCTGGCAAGTTAGCAGTTATTTTAAGACTCTACAAAAGGAGGCTTTAAAGTTCATAAACACTGTGATAGCATTAGTTGAATATGTAGCTCCAGCATGGAACCCACAGCTTGTGATACAAAACTCTAGGAAGTTGAGAGGTTTGCAACTTGATTACTACCAGAATTGAAGGGCCTGTGTTATGAGGACAGGTTGAGAGAACTTCTCTTACAACCATAGAGGAGAGAAGAAACTGGCAAGATGTGACAACTATTTAAAAGATCTTGAGGGAAATAGTGTATAAATGAAGCTTATTTAAATTAGAGGTAGGATAATGGGCCATTGGTGGAAGCTGGATATACAATAGTAAAGTTGTAATGAAGTTCTCAATCCCTTTATGGGGGGGTGGGGTTATATGGGTGTGTGTCAGCTTAGGTTGGCTCACTGCTTTGGCTGCAATCTCGTTCTCGAACAGCTGTTCTGGTGTCCACCTGATTTGTGTACTCATTCCTGGTCCTAGTTATTCCCTTCCTATTTGCCACTGTTCCATTGTCCCTATAGTTTTTACATGCGTTTTTCCCCCCCCCCCCCCCCCCCCTCTCGCCTGACTGTTGAAGCATGGATGGGTTTGCCATTACCCTCTCATGCACTTGTATCATGAGAGGTATGAACTATTGCTGCCTTGCATTTGTGTCAAGAGTGCTACCATTTGCTGGATTGTTGACATGCATGAATGTGTGGATGTATATAGTAGTCTGGTATGGGGCAATAGGCAGCCTGCAGTTTTCCTTTATTCATATGTTCCTGTGCTCTTAAAATTTGAAGTATTCCATGAGCAGCTGACACTAAATGACTTAGTTTGCCAATCTTGAAAGAAAGGCAAACAATAAAATTGTTATTGTTTAGTCTTTCCTTTATTCCCTTTTAATTACAATATAGAGTTTTTAAATATTGTATTGTTGTAATGTTTCAGAAATGCCCAGAATTTGGTGAAAAGGCACTACAGCAGCTTCTTGCTAGTTATCCAGAATTAGAACGACTTGATATATCTGGCTGTTCAGTAACTGGCAAGTGTTTAAATATCCTTCCAACTACCCTCAAGGTTAGTACAAGACTGTTCATAACACTGATCACACAAGTTATAATGAAAGGTTATGATAAATGCTGTCGAAAGGTTTACATAGTGTAGGGTGAAGAACTGTTGCAGAACAGGAGGGGGATTTGACTTAGGCCTATGTTAAGTGAAACTATTCTTTTATCTTTTGTTTACCATGTTAAAATTGAGATTGCAGTAGGAACTGAAATATTATTTCAGTGTAACAACTGAAGCTGTTTTAAAATAAGTAATTGTATGGGAGGCAGTGGGATACGCCCTTGTACAAAAGTTAGTTAAACGGTAGTGACCGACTTGGGAAGCATGGGGCATCTCCCCTGGGATTAACGGTTTAGGTCACAAAATGGCCGGCGCCTTTGTCTTGAGCAACGTATAATGAATTATTTTTCTGAATTCAGTAACTTAGAGAAATTAAAGTCTTCACTCAAATTGTATTCAATAGTATTGTTTAAAGTATCAAGAGTATCCTAAATTGTCGTAATACTGAGTAAGTCGCCATCAGTGACGTCACGAGCAGGGGACTAGCCTTTGACGCGGAACAATTTTGGCAACCCGAGGTCACAGGTCACCAAAGCCTTGCACATTTAGTAATTCTCAAAGGTCAAATAGCCATTTTGTAATTGGAAACAGCGTTTCCCTAAGATGCCTGTGCAATTGCCTTCAGTTTAAGAGTTCAACCATCTGGATTGTTCAGTGCAACAGAGGTTAGTTGTTCAACTTAAAACCCTGCTAGTAAACTTGGTGAACCTGGCGTAGGAATACCCTAGCCTCGTGGTGAGGAAGGGCTATTCAGCAGCGTGGGCCGGTCAACAACTGAGAGAGGTCATCCACCCTCACCCTGAATAGATCAGTAGAACAATAACTGGTCGCAGTAAAAGGCAGTTTGCTATAGTTTTGTATAGGAAATTAGTTCATCTCATGCCTCGTATGGAGTGATTATATTGGTTTGATTATAAACCAGTTAGTTTTTAATTTGCATTTTATTATTTCCATTTCATGTTCTCATTGTCCTTGTCAAGTGGTCTCCACGAGTCTGAGTTTTAGTTGGGCCGCAAGCCTAACAAAACGTAAGAGTTCAGCTATCCCTTTGTTTGCTTTAATTCTCCACATTTAACGTAGATTCTTCCCTCCATTTCAAAGTAATTGGGGATCAAGCCCCAAGGTGTTAATGAGTGATTAATAGGTCCAGACCCTGGTTAATTAATGCTTCTAGTAAATGGTTTGCTGGTGGCAGCAGCAGGAGATTCTAGAGTTTGCTAGGAGTCTAGTACCACGTTGTGAGGCTGTAGAATCTTGGCTGATCAAAACGAGTAAGACCACGTGGTGTGGGACTCGGCTAAGAATAGCTCTGGGGTCCCTTGGTAGAAGAGAAGTAAATAGGATACGGGTAGGGGTAGGGGTAAGGGGTTGTAAGATATCAGAGATGATAACCCCCCCCCCCATCCCTGTGTTACATCAGTTTGAGAACAGTAAAAATAAAAAAAGGCAAGTATAAATATAGGTATATAAAAGCTGGTGGATCTCGTGCCAGAATTTGAAAACATTTTACTCCAAATGTGATTTTTCTCGTTTAGCTCCGTCAATATTTTTAGATTTGTTACCAGTGAGTGCAGCTTAAACTGATAAAATGTCAGATTTTTTTGTCAAAGGTGATAATCATTACTTGATTAATTTATTAAACTAGTACACGAGGCAGTGAAATTAGTTGTGGGATTTAAAGTCATTGCCTAGCCTTCTGAAACACATCAACATGTACCAGTACTGTGTGAATTTGTTTACAAGTTGTGTACAGCCATCACATGCATAAGTTAACATTTGGATGTGGTGGGGCTGAGGGTTGCCTGGAAATGGATTCTACATTTGCATGGTGCAGGACTTTTATTCTAAACAATACATTAGTCCTTATTTAAATAATTCTAAATATGATGTACAGTTTCAAACAGTGCTATATTAGGTACAGAACTGGGCACTTCGAAGGAATTGGAGATACTAGAAGTTACCGAGGATTGACGATGCCACGGTTCCGTTGGGCCTCTTGTTTGACGGAATGGTCAACCAAGCTGTTTGACTCTCCTAAGTACTTACTGTTGTTATTCACAACCTGATTAATTAGGTATTCTTTTGAGGTGTTTATAAAGTTCTCTGATGAACATTAAAAGAGGCTGACCAGTTATGCTCTGTATGTTTAGAAGGTGGCAGTTGAAAAGTCTAGGGTCCCATAATGTATCGAGTTGTCTCGATACATTGCAAGAGTACCTATTGCATCCCAACTATTCATGTTGCTATTTTACACACTGCCATGCCTCCTGGTTTTGTACTGGCAATTATTTCGTGATTGTGTTATAGATGGTCGTGACTGTGATACTGTGTAAAAGGTAGAGATATCATTGCTAGTTATGATCACAACAGGAGGCAGACATTCACAGTGCACAGTTGAGGTTTGTGACTACTCATCATGCAATGTGACCTCATGTTACTTTAGAAAATCTTGTGAAAAATTATTCATATTCATGATTTAGTAATGGGAATCTGATGATAATGGCAGTGTTCATAGTAATAATTGCAATGTGCATACTATTTCTGGGTATTTTGCTCCATCAGGTGAAGTCTCCTTGATTCAGCTGGTTGTAGAATGTGTAGCATACTGTGCTAAGATTTAATTACCTCACACACCAGAATTACTTGGTGGTTCATTAAGGGTTCATAAAAATATAGATGTATACAGTGTGTGTGTGTATATATTGTAATAAGAGCAAAAACACTGATCTAAGAATATAATATACATCACTAGATGAGAGCACCATATTTTTCAGCATAGCGATATTCCACACATTTAACCACTATATACTATACGTTTCTGCCCGAAACACTGCGCATGTACTAGTTGCCTTTACAAGAATGTAATCACTATGCTATGTATCTTCACAAACCCAACGTACCTTCTTGTATACAGTATATATAAATAAATAAATTTAAATATATGAATTCCTCAAATTACACACTGGGAGGGAAAATCCTTCAACAGTAATAGAAATATCTGTGTGTTGAGTTGATATCACACCGAACCTGTCTCCAGAAGCCCACATCAAATTGATATCATCAGTGGCATATGCCAGATTGTTAAACATAAGAACTGCCCTTAGAAACTTGTTTAAGGAATCATTTAAAACTGTGTATCACATATGAAAGACCAATCTTAAGAGTATTCAGCTCCTACCTGGATTCCATACCTAGTTAAACAAGACAAAGCTAGAGAAGATGCAGAGGTATGCCACTAGACTAGTTCCAGAACTAAGAGGTACGAGTTATGAGGAAAGGCTATGGTTATTAAACCTTGTGTCCTTGGAAGACAGAAGTTAGGGAAGATTGGTGAAGTTGGTGGAACTTTACCAACTTGGGGACTAGTTGGTGGGGTCGAGGGAGGGGGAAGAAGTGTGTGCGCGCGCTCCGTTAAAATTGTAACATTTACCGGGATTTCTTAGGATTACAGACATCACAAAGTGCATAGCGACCCATTGAAAAGTTGAATAGTCATTAACAATGGAACTTTGTGTTAAATAGAGAATAAACGTGTGACCATGTGGAAGCAGTGCCACAAGGCTAAGTGGAATGGGTAACACAACACACAAGTTGGAAGTGTAGGAAAATCGTGCATAGAATATTAGAAATATAGAATAATGGCGAGAGATTGCTCCACGATAGCTGTGTTTGTCTAGGCTAGGCTGTGTTTACACAAGCCGCGAGGCCTACCCAGGGTATGGCACGTCCCTCGGTGATAGTATACGGACAATATATAGTGTAATATGGAAATGTGGTTCTAGGAATTGGTAATAGTGAATACCACTCCAAGCCGGAAATTAGGCAGAAAATTCCTTGTAATAATACAAGCAAATAATAAATCAGTGTTATAAATCGAGTAACTGGAAACTGGTGGCATCCATCCTGGAACAAGGGGGTCAACTGTACAGCACGGGGACCATCTTCTCTACCCTACGCTAAGTACCTGCCATAAAGTTTGAACAAAGTAACATACAGTATATAATACAAATATACAGTATACATATTTTATAATATTATATGTATTTATAATTAGTAAAATTACTGAAGTCAACAAGTGATTCATACAGTGAAGCACAAATACATCAGACAATGGAGATGTGTGGCAAGTGTTTGGAAGTATTAAAGACGTACTGTAGGCGTCAAGTGTTGCATCTGTAACATAAGATTTTACCTGAGCTGTGCAGAATTATCTCCAGGATGCACAAACAGTCAAGGAATTTAGTGGGTTTGCAAAGATGACGGGTTAATATGGGAAAACATAACTAAACTGATGAAAAACATTCCCGAGTCATGGAGATTATTATTCACAGAAAAGCAACCAGTGATGTATACGGATTGGGAAAAGAAAACGCTGGATAACGACCAAAACTTGGGAATGGGTAGTTTAGAGAACCGCAGTAGTGTGGAGGAAGAGGGTATTGTGGTACAAAACGGTAGTATTGTAGAGCCAGGTAATATAAGCAATAAGAGAAAAAGTGAGGAAGAGTGCATAAATGAAGGAATTGGGACGAAAGACGGAGATGGTGCCAATAAAGAGGTAGGCAAGACAGGCACAGGTATATACACCCTGAAAAAGGTAAAAACTGAAAATATTTGTACAGTGGTACCTCGGAATGCGATTGTCCCTGTATGCGAGGTTTTCGGAAGGCGAGGTGTATTTACTCCAAAAATTTGTCTCGGAAGGCGATGGTTACTTCGGGAGGCGAGTTTGGACGCGAGTTTGTTGATACGCGTACAGCCGACCTAGCGCGCAGTGGTTCGGCGATCGTCGCCCCTCCGCCCCGCCGCCCCTCAGTTTATTATCGTCTCGCGCTCAGTGACTACCCCCACATCAATTCTTCTCGCGGATTTTCAGTGTTTTGTTGAATTTTTGGTGATTTGTCTATACAATTTGTTATTATGTATCTCACCATGGGTCCCAAGAAAGC